GTAGAAGTTAAAGGAAGTCAAATGTGTTGGATTGTTTGTGATTGATGACAGAAAGAATGGTTAATGTATGGGGTATGGGTGGTGGGGTTGATATGGTATGGGGTGAGAGGTGGGGTTATATCTTGTTTGTTTTGTGTGTCATGTATGTTTTTCTTGATTATAATAAAATTATTAATAATAATAATAATAAAAAAGAATTCCCTTCTTCCAGCCTCTCCTTCCCAAACTGAAGTTTGTGGTCTTTGATATACATCAAAGCCATTCTTTAAACTTTTCCCCTTTTCATTATCATTTTATCTATCCCAGGAAGGAAGGTGTTCTTCATTTATCATCAGTGTCCTGCAACAGGAAATAAACAAGACCATAAACTGCAACCCCTCCTGCCACTGCCCGTTTGGTTCCCAGACTTACCTCCCCTTCTGATTACTACCCCGCTTCATTCTTTATTTAGCCATAGCACTATTTCACCCTATCAATTTATCCCTATATCAACCAACCTAATCCCTTATCATGACAGACCCATATGCTTATAGCTATGACAATGACAGAAGCTTCTCTTTTGTATACAGATACCTTCCGAGAGATGACAGGTGGTCATGGGATACCTAGTTGTATGGAGGGCCCATTTTAATATCTTTCTCCACACCTTTTGAGAAAGATCATTTCCTGAGTATTAAGTTCTCCATAAAATATACTGTTTTCATTTCATTGTAGCTTCCACAAGGGACTAGTAAGCCTCTGTGTTATCAAAACTCACTAGTTAGCAGTTCACTTCAAAATCAGATACAAAATAATGCACATTGAGTTTACAATGTTATAACTGAACTGTAAAAATAATTATACTTTACCCTTTTGCTGGGTGAACAGCAAGGCACTGTGGTTTATCGATTCCATGTATAATTGAAGTTTTTAAAGAGCCATCTAAATGCGCAACATTAATTTGTGTTTCATCAAATTCTGAGCTAATCCAATATAAATTACGTGATAACCAATCAACTGCTAGTCCCCGAATGCTCTGAATGTCTGCAAAATGTAAAACAGAAAATATTGTTGTTCAAACTGGTCTGTTAATAAGTTATCATTTATTTTAAAAAGATTTTATGTATTGCCTTGTCCCAAATTAATTATCCATCTTTAATGAAGCCTTAATTTGTTTTGAAAAGTTGTATGTCTTCCTTTTCATTTCCATTATTTAACACACTGTTCATGAGTCTGAAGCATATTTGATCTCAAATTATCTTTTTATACTAATAATGCAAAGTACCAACTAACTCTGAAGTTACAGAGAAGACCCAAATGCAGATTATATATTTTCCTTGCTATTTTCAGCTTTTGACGGGTATTATTTACACATCTGCTTTTCTGCAGAATGTGTGAAATTATGAAATGGGTGTATATCTCTGTATCTGAATTGCATGGTGAGAAAAGTGAAGAACACAAGAAGTGTCTTGCTTGATTCATCTGGGTCACCATTATACATGATAAGAAGGGAGTGGAAAGACATACAGTTTCTTCTTTCTTTATAATAACACCAGACTCACATAATGAAAATGTTTCTTCACACCACATCTAGTGAAACTTTGAAATGACATTTTCATGAAATGACTTAAGGATGGATTGTTATGCCTTCAAATACTTTCTGACTTATGGCAATCATAAGGCAAACCTATCATGGGGGTTTCTAGGACTTAGAACATGTAACTTGTCCAAGGTCACCCAATGGAATTTCATGGCTGAGCAGAGAATTTAACTCTGATCTTCAGAGTTATAGTCCAATGCTCAAACCACTGCACCATACTGGCTCTCTTAAGGATGGCTATCAACACTCAAAATCCCTAAACAGAGGTCAGAAAAATTCATGAAGAAAAATGTTATCCATGGCTGCTAGTCACAATGATTCTATGGCCATCTTCAGTACAAAAGCCAAGAAGCCTCTAAATCAGATCTGAGAAAGTTATGGCCCCCAGATGCCATGGGATTAAATCATCCTTCTCCACTGGTTATGCTATCTGAGGATGATGGGAGTTGCAGTCTAACAATGTCTGTAAACTTTCTCTGTTCCTACCCATGTTTTAAATATAAGCCATTGGGAAGATACATATCTTATATCTTGCTTATGAACTTTCCCATTGACTATTAGTCATTGGAAAAATCAAGTTGCTGGACTAGATGGATGACTGCTTTAATCAACCTGGCTCTTCTTAATCCATCAGCATAATATACTGCTATCACCAGTGGTTTTCTAAGTCTGGAAGCTCACAAGCAGAGTATGAAAATAATGACCAGCCTTTCCATAATGATCATTGAAATAATGACCAGCAACAAGTACATGACAAAATTATTCTGAAGTATCTTTGAAGTGTTATTTGTTCATATTTGTCTTATATACCCCCAGGTGCAGTATCTCTCTGATTTCACATAACAATAAAATAAAAGCAAAGCAAAAGCAAAGCAGCTTCATTTATATACCACTTCATACTGCACTATGGAATGTCTAAGCAGTTTACAACTGTAAGCTCATTGCCCCCCAACAGCTGGGTACTTATTTTAGCAACCTCAGAGGATGCAAGCCTGAGTCAAGCCTGAGCTCTGGCTAGTATTGAACTCACAACCTTGTAGTTTATGAGTGAGTGGCTGCAGTACAGGCATTTAACCACTGTGCCACCAGGGCTCCTTATATAATATCTCTAAAACATGGAGGGCTAATTTAAATTATGTACTACTTACCTTATGTACTACTATATTGAAAACTTTGCATTATATACTACAATGCCGCAATCTAGCTTCTATTTTATAACTTTCCAACATAATTTCTTTTGTGAAGCAGAAGGAATCAAACTCAAGAATGAGTTTTCAAAACAAAACAATGCTGCATTGGTATTTCTATTTGTTTCTTGTTTTGCAAGTTATTTAACTTGTCTGAAGTGGAACCTGCATTATTCTGTTGCAGTGAAAACAGCAACAAACAGCAATAAAATCTAGTGGTATTTTCAATACTATCAAGTTTTATTTGTGATATATTTTCATGGACTGTAGACCACTTCATTAGATGGATGAAGTTGGCAGATACTTAAACATATGCTAAGGTGTGAGGAGGATGTGCAAAATGCAAAAGATACAAACATCAACTATTACATTAAAATGGTTACTAGCAAACAATATAGGGGAGGCGACATGAATATCCTAGTACAAACAAGCAGATTAACACACAAATAATGATGTATTTTAAAATACTGGCAGTAAAAACACTTTTTGCATATTTGTTTCTTTTCATCCTTCTGATTTCAGTCTTCCACACATGCGTTCATCTGGCAGTTTAGCCATTTCTTGTAACTTTGATACAACATATTTCAAATGAGTGTTAATCTGTTTATCTGTACTAGGATGTCCATGCCTCTGATCAAGCTTTCTATGAAAGTTTATGTCAAGTAAGCTATTAATGCAACTTGTCATTATTTAAGGTGCCACTTGCCTCTTAACTAACATAGGAGTTAAACAAAGGAAACAATAAAACAAAATTCATTGTTAAAAATTCAGAATCAAATAATGAATTCATCAACAAGGTCATATATACTCCAAAATCATAGAAAATCCTACAGTTTACAAGGCAATTAACACATATTAAACATTAAGACAAAACATTTGTAGGAATAAGATACTTTGCTGTCCTATTTGGGAAATAAAGAGATACACAAAGAGCTGGGTTGTAAAAACTGGGCACTTTAACACTAATTTATTTAGTTGTTTCTTTCTTGATAACTGTAACTGTGGGGAGCAACCTGCTATGGGAGTAGCAGAGGCAGGTGGTCTTTTCCCAGATCATCTTCACGCTTCCCTTGGGCAAAAGATCTGGGCCCAGATCTGGGTTGACCCTTAGCTGGCCTGTATCTGGAACACCAACCAGGAATTATCTCATTTAACTCACAAGACTTAAAAGAGGGTTTATGTCTCTGGCCAACCCCAAAGAAAATCTCCTTCTCCACTCCTTTAGACATAGAACATAAAGACGTGGTTCCAGAGACCTATCCTTCATCCAAAAGAGGATGCCATTTGTGTTCACAAAAATCTAACACCTCCCCCCAAACTTAACAGTGAATTGCCTATTTATGACATCACCCTGACCAATCTTCAGTCCCCATACATCAGTGTGGGGTAGGTGGAAAACCCATGGAAAGTGGAGAAAAATCCTACCCAGTCCCAAAGTGACCAGATAACTCACACTGATGTAGAGGTGGGAGGTTGGACCAATGTTCAAGATTGAAGAGGACAGGTTGGGGACATTGAGGCCTTATGCTCAATCCCACCCCTCCAAATCATGGTGCACACATGCTGTGATGTCATGTCTGCTCTCCTTTCCCCACTGGCAGCAAAATGGCAACCTGTAGAGTAGGCCTAACAGTTTGGGGGATGCAAATTGTAGGCTTTTGTAGTACCAGGTCTTTAAATTAGTTCCTCGTTTGATCTACCAATTGTGCTTGGTTACATGTAGCATTTTGCTTAAAGACCTGCATCAGGTTATTCAGAGTTCTTACTCTTCCTGTCTTATCACTCACCAGTGAGTGCTACGCATCATCTCTGTTCAAGCCTACAAATAGGCTATCCTATCTATTGCATATGCATAGATTTGGATAGTATTGCTTTCCAACAAACAATATACCATATTTTATGGTGTATAAGATGACTATTTAACCCCGGAAAAT